CCTGCTACGCATTTCTTTTATGACTTCACAGCATGCCACACAAAGACTTATTGACTTAAATGCACCAGGAACAGAGAGAAGGAAAAAAAAAAATACATCTGTAATTAACGTAGCTAGGCTGCAAAAGACCCTGAAGACAAAACAACTTCCATTTTCATAGATTTGCGGGTGAAACAACATACCTTTTTGGTATTGTCAGTGCTTTGCACTTTGCTGCATACACGGCTCGGCTACAACTTCTCTCGCACTCATGTGGGCACAGCTTGCAAAACATCCCGTTTGATTGCACGGGCAAGCACAGACATGCCGTCCATCCCCACGGCAACCATTTTGGATCTTGCACCACCTAATTTCACTCACATGAAAAATATCGACGTTCTAAGGCGATCAGCTCCGGCGCAGGCTCACTTTGCAACAGAGGGGGAAATCACAGCGTTTGTGGCGAAGTCCCGAAACCCGGGAGCCCCCAGGGTGCGAGGAGCCGCCAGCCCGCTGCGAGCCGCTGAGGGACCGCATGGCGGCGACCTGTAATAAGGGCGGGAAATTTAAATGGCACCGCACGCTCGGCAGGGGAGGCGGCGTACCAACGCAAAGAGAGAGCTGCCACGAGCTCCCAGCGCTAATGAGAGCAGCTGAGCATGTAGCCTGCATTCTCTCTTGAAACAAACGCGGCGAGCACCTGCTGTAACGGCCAAGCTGAGGTAGAAACTCAGACTGGAGGGACAGCCTTATCTTCCAGGGCTGATACAGACAGAGCTTGGGAGCAAAAGAAGCTAAGAAAGCTTCCAGTCCTGAGGAGATAGAAGCCCGCAGAGTGGACCTGCAGCTCTGCTCAGAGCAGGAGGAGTCTCCCCTTGTCCACAAAGTATCCCCTAAGCAATAGAGAGCTCTGGGGCTGCAAAAAGGGAAGGGTATTGGTGACAGCCATGTTAAGCTGGTCCAACCAAGGGCCAGTTCTCCACACAGAGAGGCACTGAGGCATTCATTTGCCATTCAGATAATCTCCCTAGAGTGGTTTTCCACCTGCTGGCAACCTTCATTTGCGATATCAAGAAAAATTACTGTCCCTAGGAAGGCAAGAGGACTACCATCCATTCCTGCTTTTACAAGAACTTTTTAAGGTTAAGACAAGGCCTTCTGCTCCTCGTATTTCAGGTAGGCACCAATGAGGCTGCAGGGAGAAGCCTGATGGCTGTCAAGAGGGACTTCAGGGCATTGGAGTGGTTAGTTTATGGAGTGGGAGTTCAGATGGTGTTCTCCTCCTCCTTTTCTGCAGCAGGGAAAGAGTAGGAAGACCCACGCGATCAACTTGTGGTTAAGAGGATATTGTTGTTGGAGAAATGTTTTTTTTTTTCTTCTCATGGAGCAGTTTATTCAGCACCAGGCCTGCTGGCAGCAGATTAAGTCCACCTGGGTCAAAGGGGAAAAAGGATTCTGGCCCAGGTGTTGTTGGGGCTGATTGACTAGGCTCTGAGTTAGGTTTGAAGTGGGAAGGGGATAAAACCATGCTCGCTGTAGATGAGCCTAGAAACAGCACGTGATGGTCAGAGGTGAGACTAATAGCCTAGGTGTAGTGCATCTGTACCATTGTGTGCAACACAGGCAACAAACAGGAGGATCTTGAAACCATGGTGTGACAAGAAAGCTATAACTTCTTTGCCATCACCAAAACATGGTGGGATCATTCTCATGACTGGAGTGCTGCAGTAGAGAACTATAAACTCTTCAGGAGGGATAAGCAAGGAAGGAGGGGCAGTAGGGTGGCTCCATATGGGAATAATGAAATTGAGTTGTTATAGGTGAGGACCGGGGGCATCCTGATCCTTTCCTTTTTGTAGCCCCAGAACATCTCTGTTGCTTAGGGAGTACTTCATGGACAAGGATCTGACACCCTGGTGAGAGTATTGCAGACCTGGAGATGTTTAAGGAAAGAGTAGGCATAGTACTTAGAGACATTGTTTAGTAAGCGATATTAGCTGCATATAAAATATATAGTTAGTATCAATAGCTAACAGAACTTCTCATTTTTTTTTTTTTTTTTAATTAAAACATATAAAAGTGGCAAACCCCCATGAAACTAGCAGGTTAAACATATGCACTAATGCATGACAAATGGGAACTAAGCAGGAGATAGAAGCCAGGGTGCGATTAGAAAACTATGACCCAATTGCTACCATGGATACCTGGTGGGACATATCACAGAAACATTGCAATTGAGGGGTACAAACTTTATAGAAGAAATAAGCAGAGAAGAGAGGGCGCGTTGCTGTCTATGTTAAGTGGATAGATTATTACTTGGAAGGGCTGCCTCTGAGAAACAATCAAATTGTGAGCTTGCAGGTAAAACTGGATCTAAATAGTCTTTAAAGTCCCTTCCAACCTAAGTCATTCTATGTTTCTATGATATGTCTATGATACATTGCTTTATTTCAATTGCAATCCATGTCTGCCTTTTACGAAAGGGTTTGAGAAAAAGTTATGAGCAAGAATGAATGCACAGCACCGTCTCAAATGTTTGCCTATCTTTGCTCTGATGGGACACGAGAGATAGGAGACAAGACTTGAATTTGGCTGCAAATTCCTTGGAAACAGGTTTCCATCCTCCTTATTTGAGAGACAGGGTAATAAGATTGAAAAACAATCCTGGTTTGATAATATTTTAATAGGCACATTGACAAATGTATTAAAACAGTGGAGAAAGCTTTAGTTGGATTCTCACACTGACCTTAAGGAAGAAAAGAACATGGCTTAACTATTCCAAATTACTTCCTAAATCAAAAGTAAGAGCTAAGGACCATGGCTTAGAAGATTGGAATGTTCTAAATGCTATAGACCATCACCTCATTAACTTCTACATCTTTCAAACAGAAATAATCTAAGTGGAAAGAAAAGGAACATCTGGATTGTTTTCAACCTCAGAGTACCTTTACATTCCAGTTGCACACCTTCAATGCTGTAATTTCCCTCAGCATATCTGAAGCGATTAGCCTATCTGAAGGACATTTCAGGAGAAGGAGGATAGGCATTGGGACATCATTACCTCCTGCCATTGCATATCTGACCCCTTTTTTTTCCTCCAGTTCCTAGACCCGCTGAACATTCCCACAAGAGTTAGTTCACAAAGCACATTGGAACCAGAGCAGGGAATGAGCTGTAGACATGCCAGGAAACCATCTTCCTCCCTACGAATTTCCATGCTGCTAAACTCATGGGAGCATTTTTTCTCATTTCCTCTGAATATCAAGGGTAGGCTGGAGAAGCTCATGTGAGGATTGTGTACCTCTCCCCTGAAGGAGTATCTGAGTCTCTGGCGAGCTACTAACAGTCCCAACACAGATAACTGCTACTTAAAGCACGTGCAGTTTTTCCATGCTGCTTTGTAGCATCTGAATTAACATACTAAGGCTGCTCTCAGTCATGGTACTTCCAGCTTTCTAATGCTAGATTGAAATCTTTTACTTCAATAATAAAAGCAAAGGATCATTCACTCTGAACCATGATTAAGACTTCATGCATATAAAATAATTGCTACTCAGCACAACTCCACTGTGTCCTGCTTTTTTTTTTTTTTTTTGCGCTGTAATATAAAGAAGAAAAACAAGACTAAAACCTAAGTAACTATCTACCAAATCACGAGAAAGTTATCAGTTCATTCCTGAAGTGCTTTCACTAAATCAGTAGTATTACTTGTTGAGAAGCATAGTTAAATGCTTGGATTGGTATCACATCCAGTCCTTGAAGGACATCGTCTTTCCTGCCTTTTGTCCATCACCCTTCAAATTCTTAACAAAGGGTGGCTTGAAAAGAAATCAAAGTAGAAATACATGCGAATAAACAAAAGAGGACACAGCCAGCATTTACTTCTTCCAGAAAGATCTTCAATTCTTTTGCTACCAAACCATTGGTGTCTTAAAGTAAGGAAGAGTGAGGAAGCAGGGAGATTGTAGTTAGGAAACTGTGTGTTTTCTCCTTGCTGCTGCTTGGAGTTTCTAGGCACTAACAGCATTCTTCTTGTTGAGCTCATCTATTTTTACTCAGGGTCTTAAATTTTGTAGTCTGAGTAGAAGCTTCTGAGTGCAGTGCACATTTTTGAATTATTTTAGGACTAACAGTTATTTTTGGATGTGTTTGAGAGAAAAAATTCAATCAGAACTGGAGACAGCCTTTTAAATATATATATTTATGTATCTCTGCATTGAATTGAGCAAGTATTTAGTGCATCTCACCTACTTTTTCATTCTATTTATACTAGTGCTGATGTAAATTTTATTGCAGCAAGTACATATTTCTCCTTAGACAGCTGGAAGTTTTTTGGTTTTTTTTTGGTTGAGGTCAGTATTGGTCACTAGATAAAACTGAAAATGATTTCATTAACATTTGTTATAGAGGACTTTATGGTGAATCTTCTGTGAGTCATGGAATACCATTTTGAAACAGGAGGATATGTTCTTCCACTCACTGTGGGATTCTAAACTCCTGGGTCAAAAAAAAAAGTAGGAAGATTCTGCAGTGTTCTGTTAGCCCCAAACCATTAATCTGTGATTTAATGAATATGCAGATAGATGCAATGCTGAAAACAGACTAATCAAGAAGGCAGCAGAGACGAATAGCGCAGACATATGGGTCCAGGCAGAAGAAAGTCCATGCTGACCACCATGGGTCCATGCTTAAGAAAGCATGAATACACAATTTGTTTTTATCCTGTTGCCATCCTGATTGGTTAATGCCACACTGCTTTATCCTTAGACAATTCACTTTCCAAATAACAGATGAAAGAATGTCACATCTGCAGTGACTGTAGGCAGGCAGCAATATGCAAAGTGCTCTGCAAGACTCTCAGCTACTTGGTGGAGCCCATGCACACACACACACACACACACACACACACACACACACACACACACACAGAGAGAGAATACCGTGGGGGTGATGTCTGACATCCGGAATTCATTCTCACTAGCAGTATTAAGTCAGCACTATTTTAATTTATGAAACTTTACCTCCAGTAAATGATGCAGAAGTTTCACTTGGAATTTAGCATTTAGTGGATTATCCAAGCCAGAGTTGGGCAGAAGGAATGACTGCATTCACTTCTATACTTCTTGAAGGAATAAATCATCTTGAGGGACGTTTTCCTCTTCTGCAAATGAAAATAAAGGCACGTGCCAGTTCACCACTCTTATTGCTTAACATTTCTACTGATTTCACAAGAATGTATTGCTCAACTTCCTCTAAAGAAGCTGTGTGACTGTTAGGTGATGAGAGAAAGCTTAGATGAATGTTCATCCATTGTAGTGATGACTGCAGAACGCTTAGATTTGCTTTTGTTGTATGAAGGCTTTCCACTGACGTTGGTGGGATTGATCATTCATTTGCATGTTTCAAATATGGCTTTAGAAGACTAGCAAGAACATCCTGCTGCAGAACAGTGATTTATCAAATAGTCTTTCAAAACCGTTTATAATTTCCTGGTATGAGCAATTTGGCAGTGAAATCAGGGGATACAGGACAGAATGGAAAAACAGTTCACTTGTTATTAAAACTGCTGATTTAGAGAGATCTGAATTGCTCCTTTCTTGGTCAGATTGTACTTAGTGAAAGCAAGACAAACAAGACTGAGGCATTCACTATCTACAAATAATATTTTGTTCTCTCATTCTCATCTTTGCTTACCTTGGATAGGTTATTTTTCTTGCTGATTTGATTCCATAAATAAAATAATTCCATAGGCAAGGGAAGAGGGAGGAACATGATTCCTTCCCTCTAAAATTGCTTCACTTTTAAGTTTATTTTCTTTCATATCTACTTTATTACTATTATTAAGTTGGAAGCTTAAAAAAAAAAAAAGTGGAAAAGGATCATTCTTTTCTGAGTTGATTACACGGCACTTCAGACATAAAAGATTCTAAGTGCTATCATAAGGACAAACAAATAGCTGCCTACAGGTTGCTGAGTTGAAGAACTTTTAGTTTGAAATTGCATTGGATATTCAAAGAGATGAAAATAACACTGTGAAAATGGGAAAGGAAAACAGGAGAGGGAGCAGAATCTTTTTTTTTCCTTTTTTTTTTTTTCTGACTACAGCTACCTTATTTCATTAATGCATTACTACAGATTGTTGCAGTTGGTGTTCCTTCCCAGAATAACACCACCCTCTCGACCAGCCAAGCTTAACACAGTAGCAATAATGTATTTTTGCCACATCTAGACATACTCTGATATTTTCCTTAAGGAGAAATAACATCAGAGGAGCAATGCACTATTTCTTAATTTGCAAATATTCTACAGTAGGAAGCAAATGTTTAAGAATGGAAATGCAGTTCTGGATTTGGAGATGAGAAGAAAGAATAAGTGTAAAGCATACCACAGCATCAAAAAGATGACTAATGTTGCCAAGGATAATGCATATATTAAAGCAGTTAGATAATCAAGTATGTTATAAGTACCATTAATTCCAGTGAAATAAAGGAAATAGACACCTAGTCCTCACAATTACACTTGGTAAAAACCTGAAACAATTTAGATGAAAATGAATACATAGATAATTAAGTGCAGGTGGGACATCAAAACACATCCAAGTCATAACTGCACATTCTAAGAAGTACACGTGCTAAGCAACATTTATCAACGGTTTTAAATCTATCTGTAATACAGGCTAACGGGCTTGTAAGTGAAGTTATAAAATTCAGTACACGTTCACTATGATGAAACTGGGTTCAAGTTTGCATTCTGGTAAGAACAGTCTCTTGGCATCACCACTGTTCTGGTGATCCCAGACGTTTATTCAGAGACGGTCACAGTTTTGGCAGAAGGATTTAATATTTGGAAAAAAAAAAAAAAAAAAAAAAAAAATCAGTACTGAGACTTCTCCTGTTAAAAAGAAATAAAATAATAATTAAAAAAAAAAATTGGCTCTAGAAGGATGTACCAAGTTTCCTGTGCTGCTGATTCATCTTGGTGGAGCTCCATGCATCTGCTGAGACTTCCAAAAACATCTTTCCTGTGTATACAAGACCTGGCCAACAGCACTGCTGAATCGAAACTTAATCTGAAAGCATTCAGAAGTGTTCTGCAAACCTGAAACAATGCACTAGAAAAGCAGTGCAGCAGAGTTGGTGCAGATGATGTGCTGCGCCCACATTACTGCATGCCCTACTCCTTCTATGACACTTCAGAGGCACCGTGACCATCTTTTCTAATAAGGATTTCCTGATGTTGCTTCTAAAAGCCTTTGGAAAAGCCTTACAGTGTGCTGATTCCATGCCACAACCCTGGGACACAGACAAGCTTAATATGCTGCTTTCAAGTTATATGGAACTAACAGATAGTTTAGGGTAATTTTCCCTGCTACACACTAGAGCCAACCCAATATTATATGAACGTATGTAGAAGTTAAGAGCTCAGCTTTGCCCAGCTCTAGGAACATTTCTCCTTGAAATTTCCGCTCCATTTTTTTTCAGAATAACTGAGTATTTGCTGCTGCCAGGACACCAGTGCAGATACCTGCTTTTCAGATGCTATTTCATTTAGGCAGACATGGAGAAACCTTAAATACATAAATGAATGAAAGTCTAAGTGTGGTAGATCTAAAATATATATATATATTTTAGATCTACCACACTTAGAAAACTTACAACACTGATAATAAAGAGCTGATATCAAAGAAAAATATTACATACTAAAATTATGCCACTTACGTATCGCAAGACTTCACTGTGCTACTTAAAGTCACACTAAGAAAAAGATGAATATTTTCTTCATCACCTGGCTGGTAGAATACCAGCCTTAGCAATTTGATGTACAGGAAAATACCGACCTTTTTCTGTTTGTACTCCTAGTTATGTATTTTAGAGGGAGGTTTAAGTTGGCTCAATATTTTAACATTATACATGTCTGAATTAAAACCACATTTGGCTATAGATGCAACAACATTTCTGTATTGAAAATTGTTAATCTGTGATGAGAACAAATGCTTGTAAGTAATATAAATTATCATCTACAGAATGTTTGAGAGTGGAAAACAAGTTTGTCTCATTCTTAGAAGCAAAAATCACTTATTCCATTATTCAGGCTGTGCACTCTGGCCAGACCTAGCAGAACATACTTGCATCTGAATCACTGCACGCATAAAATCAGAGTTACCAAAGTTTCTGCCTGCCCAGCTCTCTTCCACAGCTAATCCCTTCACACAGAGCAGAGGGAAAACAAGGTGCCCTTCCTAAACCCAGTACAGAACAGAAGGTTTAACTAAGGACTTCATATACTTTTTCTTCCATGGTTATCCTGGCACTGGGCTTCAGGTTTGATATAGGTTCGGGAGGCTGGATTTAAGAAGATACTCTCAACCATAAGAAGAATCATGAGATACCTACTAAATATTTATATTCCTATCAGCGATTTACTTTGGATTCAACCATTTAATTATTTAATGAATTTTTAAGGTGGTCAGTCTCTCTTAAAATTCTCTTATTACCTGCCAACCTTTAGTTTATTCCAAAGACTGCTTCAGCAAATTACTTGACATTTCTCAGGCACTGAAAAACATTTGTTCTGACTTAGACTGATTTAGAAAAAACATTCTGTAAAGTAGTGTGGCATCAACCTGTCCAACCAAGAGTGGAGAAGATTATGTTGGGAATGCTGCACTACAGTAGAGACTTGCTTTAGTTGCTTCCAGTTTAAAAAACAAACAAAACAAAACAAAAGGAAAAAAAAAGTGATGTGTAATAATGCAATCAGGTTGTATTTTGGCTGCTCTCCTATTTCACAAAAGCAAATAAAAGTAAAAACAAATGCCATACTCTAAACAGCTTGCAAATTCTAGTAACCAAAGATTTCAGTAGTCTCCCCCTTATCTGCATCAATCTCTTCCTAAAATGTCATATCAGATTGCCAAATGTTTTTCCTCATGTTCTGATGATCTGATGTTTTGTGAATAGGTCATCAGTACAGCACTTCTATCTAATGGTATAATTCCATCTTGTGTTCTAATCTGACTTACTTTGTAGAACTAGGGAGTATGTAACATCATACTCTTCTACTGAAATAAGGGACTCTATTCATGCTTCCTGTTAGCATGCATGCACAACTAAACAACTATAACAACTCCTTCATTTTTGAGCCTAATGCACTACAGAAATTCACATTATAAAACAAAAACCATTTATGATTATGATTAAGGTTTTAGAAGAAACCAAAATCAGATCCATCTACTCTATGCCTTTTAACCACCCTTTTAACAAGTGAAATGTAAGGATAACCACTCTAAATTTTTGAAACTTACCTTAAAAATATATAAAAAATCCCATACCATGATTTAGCCACAGATCATCTTCTCATGTTTACAGCAGTATTGCTTTAAGCATATTAAAGCAGAATTGGCATTTTTACTCTGTTTCTCTGGATGCAGTCTACAGCTTGAATTTGGCACTCTTGTTTGCCATACTACTAACCCAGCCAGAATGTTATGTGAACACATTATTTTAAACATACTTCACTTACCTAAAAGAAACTGTGTCTTTTTGTGCAAGTCTTACTATTTACTTAGGCTGCATTTTTATTCCCTATACCTAAGAATACTTCATTACATGTCCCTTGGCTATTTTTCTTACTTGGAAATACCTTGCTAAGACATCTGGGCTTGTGGCAGTTGCTTTAGACATCTCATCTACAGGGATAAATTCAGATTTTGTGACTTGTTAGTGGCAGAGGATTACAACTGTCTCATGTTTTTTTCTTTAAATTTATAGGCAACTTCAATATTCTTTTAGTCTTTCAGCCGAGAGATCAAAGGGAGCTCCTGACTATAGGTGAATGCTGTGTTTTAAATTGAATCATAGAATCATTTAGGTTAGAGAAGATCTCTGGAGTCATCAAGTTAAACCATTCATTAGCACTGCCATGTTAATCACTAAACCATGTCCCTAAACACCAGATCCACTTGTCATTTAAATACCTCCAGGGAAGATGACTCAACTACTTCCCTGGGCAGCCTGTACCAAGGCTTAACAGCCCCCTCTGTGAAGAAATTTTCTTAGATATCAAACCTAAACCTCCTTTGGTGTGACATTTATTGTCGTACAAAGAGATCAGCTTAGTCAGGCAGGACCTGCCTTTCACAAACCCCTGTTGGCTGGACCT